AGACCCAGCACCCCCAGGCTCCGCACCCCCAGGCTCAGAACCCCCAAGCTAAGCACCCCCAGACTCAGCACCCCCAGGCTCAGCACCCCCAGACTCATCACCCCCAGGCTCCGCACGCCTGGACTCAGCACCTCCAGGCTCCGCACCCCCAGACCCGGCACCCGCAGGCACAGCACCTCGAGCAGCACTAGAGTCAACAGCTACCTCGACAGGCTCGACTGCATCTACCTGGGACACACCTGACGAGGCAGGACCCTGAGGGGGGAGGGGGTCTACCGGGGGAGGACCTGGCGCAAGGAAGAGCGGCGGCGGGGGGAGGGGCGCAGTGCGTTAGGGGAAGAGACGGTAGTAAGGCACCGACTCGTCAAAGGTGACGTCCTTGGAGGACAGAATGCGGCGCGAGGTGGGGTGGTAAAACTGCCACCCAGGCGCGTCAGGGGGGAAGCCGAGGAAGACGCAGGGAACAGCACGGGGGGACAGCTTGTCCGCAAACAAGTCGCGGACAAACGCCCGAGATCCCCAGACCCGAAATGCAGACGCATCGCCAACCTTCCCCGTCCACCGCAAGGTGGGGGAGGTCTCTGGCAAGGAGACCCGGGGCTGAAGGTTGAGCTGATGCGGTGCGTACTGAACCGCAAACGGACGTACGAGTGACGTCCATGACCATGCCAATGCGGCGCTCAGCAATCCCATTTTGCTGTGGAGAGGCCGGAAGCGTGAAGGTCTGACGGATGCCTTGTGCACGACAGAAGGCTCCCAGACGGGCAGAGGAAAACTCCCCACCTCTGTCAGAGTGCAGACGCAGAACAGGAAAGTCCGAGCCGAAACTCTCTCTGAGCTAGAGACGAGCTGCGCGGATCCAGTCGATCAACACCTCAGTGACGTCACCCTTGCTGCGCAAGGGGAAGACTGTGGTGTAACGCGAGTAGTCGTCAACCACCAACAGGAAGTAACGCTCGTGCCCCTGTCCACGGACGCGAGCGGGGCCTCACACGTCCAGGTGAAGAGTCTGCAACGGAGCCTCTGTCGGAGGAGACTCGGAGGAGTGAGAGGCGGCGCGCTGTTGCCCCTCGACGCAGGGGACGCAGGTAGGGGCAGGCCCCGGAGGTAGGGGAGGGAGAGACCGGGGAAGACCAGAGACAAGGACACGGGAGGCCATGCCTCAGAGACGAGGCAGGGAGGGGTGACCAAGGCGGTGGTGCCAAAGGAGAGTCTGGTGGGACAGGAGACGACACGAGCAGGGAGCAGACTCAGGACCAGACCTGGACGCTGCAGCAAACACCTGACTCGACACAGCTACCTGACCAGACTCAGCAGTCGGAGGAGACTCAGTAGTAAGTGTGTACAGGCTCGACCCCGGCCGACGGGTGAACGTGGCCAAGTGTCGGCCTGTCCGAGCACACGTGCAGTGGGTCACCCGCTGACTCGCAGGAGTGAACTGGTCAACCCCCCTATCCTGTAGATCAGCTCCACTCACCAAGTTCGTAGAGAACGAGGGGAGGTAGAGACCTGACAGGGTGCCAGAGGGGGCTGCCGGGCACGGTAAGACAGTGGAGAAGCTAGCAAGGACAGGACCCCCAGAGGGGTCCGCCTGGGAGACCGCAACCGGCCGACTAAGCGGCGTAAGCGTGGCGCGGTCTCGAAAGAAGGAGCGGGAAGCACCCGAGTCAAGGGTGAAGGTGTGTAAGGCCTGAGCCGACGTGGTACCTGAGAAAGCAGACTCACCAGCACCTGGGGCAGTAGACGCACTAGCACCTAGAGCAGCAGCCTTACCAGCACCTAGAGCAGCAGACTGGATACCGGGGTCAGGCGGCACACACAGGTGACAGACTCCCTCGGCACTAGTAGACAATGCATACATAGCAGTGAGAATAGCATCATAGTCAAGAGCAAAGATATCTACCCTCTGCCTAAGCAGCTCCACCCAGTCGGGGAGCTCAGCGTCGTCGCCAACTCTGTAAGCCAAGTGTCGCTCAGACGCGCGAAGCAGCGGGACTCTGTGTGACCACGCGTCCCGCGAGTCTGACCAGTCCGGACACCCGTGCTAATAACGTACGGGCAGCGAGCAGTACTCAGCGACCCTCCACTCTGAGCGTACCACTCACGAAGCTGCTGGGGTGAAAAAGTCTCGCGCGGACAACGCTGCTGCTGCACCGGGCCACTACAAGAAACTCCCGAACTACCCACTCCGGGACGACTCCCACTACTGCCACCCCGACAACCCCAACTGGTGTACCACTCACGAAGCTGTTGGGGGGTGAGGGACTCACACGGGCGACGCTGGAGCTGCATCGTGCCACTACAAGCAGCCGCGGAACTACTCACTCCAGGACGACTCCCACTACGGCCACCCCGACAACCCCAACTAGCGTACCACTCACGAAGCTGTTGGGGGGTGAGGGACTCACGCGGGCGACGCTGAAGGTGCATCTGGCCACGCCAAGAGCAGCAGTAGCAGTAGAAAGAGCAGCACTAGTAAGAGCAGCAGTAACAGCAGTACGGGCAGGGCAGTGCTCACCAGTGGCGAGAAGGGCGGGCGTACGACGGCGGCAACGGCGATGCCGCTACCACTGTAGAGCGAGAGCTCCGCGGCAGCTGCAGGGGCGGCTGCTCCAGGGGCGCCTGCTGAAGTGGCGGCTGCTCTAGGGGCGGCTGCTGCAGTGGCGGCTGCTCCAGGGGCGGCTGCTGCAGTGGCGGCTGCTCCAGGGGCGGCTGCTCCAGGGGCGGCTGCTGCAGTGGTGGCTGCTCCAGGGGCGGCTGCTGCAGTGGCGGCTGCTCCAGGGGCGGCTGCTGCAGTGGCGGCTGCTCCAGGGGCGGCTGCTGCAGTGGCGGCTGCTCCAGGGGCGGCTGCTGCAGTGGCGGCTGCTCCAGGGGCGGCTGCTGCAGTGGCGGCTGCTCCAGGGGCGGCTGCTGCAGTGGCGGCTGCTCCAGGGGCGGCTGCTGCAGTGGCGGCTGCTCCAGGGGCGGCTGCTGCAGTGGCGGCTGCTCCAGGGGCGGCTGCTGCAGTGGCGGCTGCTCCAGGGGCGGCTGCTGCTGTTGGGCGGCTCGGCGGCTTGGCTGCCCGCTAGAAGCGGCGACGGGGCCGGGTAGGGGCGGCGACGGGGCCGCTACGGGCAGCGACGGGGCCGCGTAGGGAGGGGAGCGGCGACGGGGCCGCTAGGGGCGGCGACGGGGCCGCGTAAGGGCGGCTACGAGGCCGCGTAGGGGCGGCGACGGGGCCGCGTAGGGAGGGGAGCGGCGACGGGGCCGCTAGGAGCGGCGACGGGGCTGCGTAGGGGCGGCGACGGGGCCGCGTAGGGGCAGCAACGGGGCCGCGTAGGGAGGTCAGCGGCGACGGGGCCGCTAGGGGCGGCGATGGGGCCGCTAGGGGCGGCGATGGGGCCGCGTAGGGGCGGCGACGGGGCCGCGTATGAGCGGCGACGGGGCCGCGTAGGGAGGGGAGCGGCTACGGGGCCGCTAGGGGCGGCGACGGGGCCGCGTAGGGGCGGCGACGGGGCCGCTAGGGGCAGCTACGGGGCCGCGTAGGGGCGGCAACGGGGCCGCGTAGGGAGGGAGGCGGCAACGGGGCCGCTAGGGGCGGCGACAGGGCCGCTAGGGGCGGCGACGGGGCCGCGTAGGGGCGGTGACGGGGCCGCTAGGGGCCGCGAGGGGCCTGGAAGGGCGGCTACGGGGCCGCTAGGGGCGGCGACGGGGCCGCTGAGGGTGGCGCGAGGGGCCGTGAGTGGGGCCTCTAAGAGAGGTCGACAGAAGGGCAGCCCACAAGGGGTGCCTCGGGCAGGAGCGACTGTCGCTCCGGTCAGAAAAAAAAGTTTCAGTGGTGGGCCCAAGGAAGCGTTCCCACTAGGGAACCTGCTCTATACCATGTGAAGAAATGAGGAATGAATGAACTAGCAAGCAGGTGGGTACAAGTAGGAAAACCTAGAAGTGTTGTACCCCATATTGTCTACCCCACTACAGCCTACACAGACTATAGCCTATGAGTTTGACATAGCGCTAGTTGGCAAAAGCGAGACATTGATAGGGTTTTTTTTTTTTTTTTTTTTTTTTTTTTTTTTGTGCGGAAAAAAAAAAAAAATTGCTATCCACCTCAACCATCTTAGTTAGTGCATGTTCCGATCTCCCCCTCACGTCACCAGTTTCGTGTTACAACCCGTTCACCCGCGGCACTTACGTTAGTGAACGATGTTCGCGTTACTCCCGTCTTGCATTCAAGCTTGCGTCGCACACGCAGTCTCTTGTCACACTTGCTGCGGTTCAGCCTCGTGTCACGATCGTACCGATTTAGGCACGGGCCGCTCACGCGAATGCCGTACAGTTTCGCGTGACGCATGATGCCGTTAGTCGCATATGTTCCCCCTCGTCGACCACGTTAGACCGCTTTCCTCGTCGCCCGCGCTTTCCCTCATCACCCTCGCTGACCCTTTGGTCGCATATGTTCCCCTAGTTGCCCGCGCTTTCCCACGTCAACCACACATCCCCTCGTCGCAATCGCTGATAGTGAACATACCACGCTTCAGATCGTCACCCGCGCACCCCTCATCACCCTCGTCGACCCGCACCGATCCTCGCCGCCCTCACCTCCCTTTGTCACCGACATTCCCTTTCGTCGCTCGCGCTTCCCCTCATCGCCCTTGCCTCCCTGTTACTCGCGCTTCCCCTCGTCATCCGCGTTTCCATCCGGGATAGAGAAGCGGAGTGACAAAAGGGGGTAAGAAAAGTGAGGGAGGGACAGAGGGGGGCAAGGACAGAGGGAGAGGTAAGCTACCTCACATCCCCTTCCCTGCTTCTCCCCATTCCCTTCCCTGCTACCCCACATCCCCTTCCCTGCTTCTCCCCATTCCCTTCCCTACTACCCCACATCCCCTTCCCTGCTTCTCCCCATTCCCTTCCCTGCTACCCCACATCCCCTTCTCTGCTTCTCCCCATTCGCTTCCCTGCTTCCCCGCATCCCCTTCCCTGCTTCCCCCCATCCCCTTCCCTGCTTCCCCCCATCCCCTTCCATGCTTCCCCTGATCCCCTTCCCTGCTTCCGCCCAACCCCTTCCCTGCTTCCCCTCATCCCCTTCCCTTCTTCCCCTCATCCCCTTCCCTGCTTCCCCTCATCCCCTTCTCTGCTTCCCCCCATCCCCTTCCCTGCTTCCGCCCATCCCCTTCCCTACTTCCCCTCATCCCCTTCCCTGCTTCCCCTCTTCCCCTTCCCTGCTTCCCCCCACCCTCTTCCCTGCTTCCCCCCGTCCCCTTCCCTCCTTCCCCCCACCCTCTTCCCTGCTTCCCCCCGTCATATGCCCCGCTTCCCCCCGTCATATGCCCTGCTTCCCCCCGTCATATGCCCTGGTTCCCCCCGTCATATGCCCTGCTTCCCCCCACCCTCTGAGAAGTGGGTGACACATGCAGGTGAGCTCGAGGGATGAGTTGACTGGAATGAGAGGCGAGAGCCGCTTGGCATTTGGAGACGTGGGAGATGAGGGGAGTTAGAGGGATATGGTAGCCTCTCAGTAACATGCAACAGCAGCTGCATTCAATGCGATGCCCTTTTTCTCCTCATTACTTCCTGCTCGTGCCTCTGCTTTCTTCCCCTCACCCTCTGCCCTGCTTCCCCCCACCCTCTGCCCTGCTCCCATCGCTTTTCCCCGTGCTCCTCTCCTCTATTTTACCATCTCTCCTGCCTCTCCCATCCACCCCCCCTCTCCCTCCCCATGTGCTTCTCCTGCCCCTCCCATGTACCCCTCCTCTCCCCCCCCATGTGTCTCTCCTGTCCCTCCCTGTCTCTCTCGTGCACACCCACCGCCCAGGACCTACGCTTTCAGAAATTTCTTGTCTGTTTGTCTGGATTTCAGACACATTTTTTATGGTTCATCTAATGGCCTAGACATGTCGTTTAAACTCATCTGATTTTTAAGACAAAGTTTTTGTATTTATCTGAATTCTTAGACATCCTTATACAGTTCGTCTGAGACTGCAGATATCGAGTCTTTTGTCAGAGGTCCACTGGTGATCCCCGATTGATCCTAGGGAAGGGTTACAGGCTCGTTGTCTTGGGGGGTTATGGGCGCACTGACCCGCTACTTAACAAGCCCTTTTATCCCAATGGTCTAGTGGTTGGGATTCTGACATGGTATCAGAGCGAAGGTCTCGGGTTCGAATCCCAGTGTGTGCACTTCGGGCATCCCAGTGCAGGGGGGTGTCAGAGGTCCACTGGTGATCCCCGATTGATCCTAGGGAAGGGTTACAGGCTCCTTGTCTTGGGGGGTTATTGGCGCACTGACCCGCTACTTAGCAAGCCCTTTTATCCCAATGGTCTAGTGGTTGGGATTCTGACATCTTTTCCCGTCTGAAGGCAAAACTTTCGGATGATCGTGCTTGCCTGGCAGAGTCTGGCGACAGGATTTCGAACCCTGGTCCCTGTCTTCATAAGTCCCCCATTCTAGTGATTGGACCATCGAAGGCTGTATATATATGGTACTTTACGTTACTTAACTTTGTTTTAGGAATACATTGTTTGCTAGCTATGTACCTCTATCTGAAATCTCAGACAAGAACTTAGCATTCATCTGAAAAGCTAGACAATGTTACAGCTTTCGTCTGACAATCAGACAAGGAGACAGGACCCGGTCTTAAAGCCAGACGGGTCATTTTACTAAAGTTAGCCCTGCCACCGCCTCTCCACTCCCTCCTGCTCGTGCTCCTTCCTCCCACCTGCCAGGAGCACGACCTAGAAACCTTACAGAGGGACTACAAGGTGCGTGACGTGGGTCTGTTGCGCATTTCTTGGTGGACCTGCTCTTCCCTCCATCCTTACATAGGCTTGAAAGCGCAACACGAGTTGCCGAATTTGAGCTTACTAGAGTTTTGATATTCTAAACCCTCTGCCCGTGTTTTGATATTCTATTACTGATAAGGTATGCCGTGTTATAGCTGGAAAATATGATTCAAGGTTTCCCCCCCACAATTCAGCACCCCACTTTTTTTCTTGTTATTTTGAGTGAAGACTCATGTTAGTGAAGTAGAAAATGTAAAAATGTGCAAAAAGTAATAAATGTTTTCAGTGTTCTGGCTCGGTCCTATCGCGTGAGGGTTCGCGTCCCCACCAGTTCAACCCCAAAAGAATTGGTTGGAAAGGAAGTGGTGGTGGGGCGAGCGCAGTGTTCTGTCGTGCACTGGATCGTTCGCCCCACCCAGAATCTTGGAAAGAGCTATCGCATAGTCGAGCGTGTTGAAATATATTTCTTATATAAACTGCTTGTAGCAGTAGTTAGTGTAGTGTTACATTGGTGGTGCACCTTTCCTTGCTTATTTGTTCTCTATTTGTACTCTTTGCTCCATAGTGAAACCACCTTTCTTGCTCCAACTCTCTCGATAGTCATGCCTAGCCTAAACCCTAGCATGACTCCTATTCTTTCCTTCTAACTACTATCTTAACATGGTAATCAGAGCAGGAACTTTCCTGCGGCCTTCCTTACCGGGCCTATCAGTCTGCTTCCGCTGCCTGTTATCCTGCCGCGCGCCTCGGGCGCGTGGCGTAGGCGCACGGCGATTTTCTGCCCGCCGTGTGCTCGGGGCGCACGGCGGCTTTCTGCCCGCCCGTACCCTGCCCTTCGCGGCGCCCTGCGTGACGCCGCTCCTGCTCGTCGCGACACCCGTGCGGGACCCGTGCGTCGCCGCTCCTGCTCCTCGCGATGCCCGTGTGGGACCCGCGCGGCGTTGCCCTGCTCGTCGCGACGCCCCTGCGGGACCCGCGCGGCGTCGCCCCTACTCGTCGCGGCGCCCCCTCGGCGTCGCCCCTGCTCGTCGCGGCGCCTGGCCGCCGCCTCTGCCTCACCTCACCCCACGCCTGCACTCGCTGCAGCCGCCCCGGCCCTACCCGCACCGACCCTCTGTAGCCGCTCTGCGGCTCTCTCCCCGCCCCCCCCCTCCTCCTTCGTCTCCCTGCAGCCGTGGGGGGGAGGGTATGGAGGTGGCGGGTGTGGGGGTGATGGGTGGTGTGTTTCCCCTTCCCCTCCTCCTCCTTTCGTTCCCACTGCTGCAGCTGCCGCTGGGGGGAGGGTGTGAGGGTGTGGGGGAGCCGGGGGAGTGGCACTGGGGTGGCGGGTGTGAGACCAACCAGCAGTAGTCCCTCCTCCTCTCTCTCTTCCTCCCGCCCCTCCTGGGGTGGGGGGGAGAAGGGGGGGGGAGGGTGAGGGGGTGGCAGGGGTGACCAACATGCGTTAGCCCACCTCCTCTCTCTTCCTGTCGCCCCTCCTGGGGTGGGGGGGGGGGGGGGGGGAGGGTGAGGGGGTGGCGTTGGAGGAAGGGTGGGGGGAAGGCGTGAGGTTCCAGGGGGCGGTTGACAAGGGGGGTGAGGTTGAGGGGGGTGGCTGAAAGAGGGTGTGGACTTGGGGGTTCGTAAGAGGGGCTCGCCGCGCTTGGCTCCCCCCACCTCCTCTCCTCCCTCTCTCACCCTCCCCCCCTTTGTAAAAAGGGGGTTCGTAAGAGGGGCTTGCCGCGCTTGGCTCCCCCCACCCCCGCTCCTCATCCCTCTCTCACCCTCCCCCCCTTTGTAAAACGGGGGTTCGTAAGAGGGGCTTGCCGCGCTTGGCTCCCCCCACCTCCACTCCTCATCCCTCTCCTCTCCTCTCTCTCTCTCTCTCGCCTCCTCCTCGCATTCTTCACTTGCCCTCTGCTTCTACTGCGCTTGGTGTACCCCTTCAGGGGGTGTCTCTGCATTAGCTTCCTGCTGCAAGCAGTTTAGGGGGTGTGTTGAAATATATTTCCTATATAAACTGCTTGTAGCAGTAGTTAGTGTAGTGTTACATTGGTGGTGCACCTTTCCTTGCTTATTTGTTCTCTATTTGTACTCTTTGCTCCATAGTGAAACCACCTTTCTTGCTCCAACTCTCTCGATAGTCATGCCTAGCCTAAACCCTAGCATGACTCCTATTCTTTCCTTCTAACTACTATCTTAACAGAGCGGTAGGTTGAGCGTGTTGGAGTGTGAAGGGAATTATACTTAGCATTCCCGTAGGTGCAGCAGTATCGCACCTGACTTTGTCAAAGGAGCAACAACCGCAGTATCGGATCAGCCCGTATCAAGGGCAGGAAGGTCAACAGTCGCAAGATCAATTGTCGCGACTGTTGACCATCTGGACCGACGCTGGACTTACCATCGAGGAATGGCAACACGCGTAACCACACAGGTTACATGCATTGACTCAGTAACAAGAAAGTAGTACAGCAGTCACAGGCTCTGTAGAAATGTCTGTAAAACAGTTATAATAAGGGAATGTACTGTCAGATTTATATGACATAGTTGCTGTAGGCTATAGTGGGGTAGCACATATGGGGTACAGGGTTTCTAGGGTTGTATTTGTACCCAATCTTTCCTTAGTCATTCCATTCCTGTTCAATTGTTTCACATGGTATAGAGCGGGTCCTTCCTAAGGACCGGTTTTTTTTTAGGGCCCACCGAAGCGCGCCCCGAGGCGCGCATTTTTTTAGCGACCCCTCGGGTCGCCATTTCCCTCGCGGCCCCGCTGCCCCTCCTGATCGCGGCCCCGCCGCCTGCTTGACGCGGCCCCGCCGCCTCCACTGACGCGGCCCCGCCGCCGGCTCTGACGCGGCCTTGCCGCCCGCTACGTCGCGGCCCCGCCGCCTGCTTGACGCGGCCCCGCCGCCTCCACTGACGCGGCCCCGCCGCCGGCTCTAACGCGGCCCTGCCGGCCCGCCGCTGCACCTAACGGCCTCGCCGCTGCACCTGCCGGCCCGCCGCTGCACCCTTCGGCCCGCCGCCTCACCTGACGGCCCCGCCGCTGCGCCTGCCGACCCGCCGCTGCACCCTACGGCCCGCCGCTGCACCCAGCGGCCCGCCGCTTCACCTGACGGCCCAGCCGCTGCACCTGCCGGCCCGCCGCTCCACCCTACGGCCCGCCGCTGCACCCAGCGGCCCTCCGCTTCACCTGACGGCCCCGCCGCTGCACCTACCGGCCCGCCGCTGCACCCTACGGCCCCGCCGCTGCACCTGCCGGCCCGCCGCTGCACCGGTCGACCCGCCGCCGCACCTGCCGGCCCGCCGCTGCACCTGACGGCCCCGCCCCTGCATCTCCCGGCCGAGCCGCCCCAGCAGCAGAGCCGCCCCAGCAGCCGAGCCGCCCCAGCCGCCGAGCCGCCCCAGCAGCCAAGCCGCCCCAGCAGCCGAGCCGCCCCAGCAGCCGAGCCGCCCCAGCTGCAGTGCCCCCCGAGCCGCCCGAGCCGCCGAGTCGCCCGAGCCGCCCAGCAGTCGAGCCGCCCGAGCCGCCCGAGCCGCCCGAGCCGCCCGAGCCCTCCCTGCACTGCCCTGTCTGGTGAGCACTGAGCTTTACTCTGCGCACTGCCCTCTCTCTACTGCTGTCATGGCTACCCCCAGTGTCCTCGCCTTTGACGCTGAGGGCAGAGCCATTGACTTTGACGTGTGGGTAGACTACCTACTGCTTTTCCTACAGTGCGACAGAGCTGACGGACTC